CCCCTGGTAGGGGAACACAGAGCCAAGGGCGTCTGCACCACGCTCGCGCTTGTGTCCTCCTGTGAGCTAGAAGGCAGAGCCATCTGCTGGGGGAGAGGGTGCAGGTCTGGAAAAGGTGCCGGGAGAGGAGCCGAGGCGTGCAAGACGCAGCTGACTCTGGGTGCCGTGGCCTGTGGGCACCACATCCTTGGTGTGGGCTTTCTTCCACTGGCATAGAGGCTGGGGAGGGGGAGGAGACAGGTGCTACAAATCCCTGGCTTGGGTTTTTCCGGATGAGGAGGGCGGAAGGACAAGGGCCAAGCAGTTGAGGGCTCTGGCAGAGAATAGCTGAGATGATGTCCCCTGTGGTCAAGAGGCCTGGCGGTGGGGAGCCAGGGGAGCTGATGCCCGTGGGAAAGTACAGGAGCTGGGATCAGGACAATGTCAAGGGAGAGAGGGGCGGAGGCGTGAGAGGACTGGCAGCCTCGGAAGCTGTGGTCAGGGAGTGGGTTCACGGAGAGCAGTTGGAACTGTCCCGGTGATGACAGGGTCCAGGGCGTGGGCAGCCACAGTGCAGCGGAGGTGAAGGTCACCGGCCGGGGAGGTGTGGGAAGGGACGGGCAGATCTGGCAGCCCCCTGGAGCCTTGTGTGCAGGGTGTCTGGCTTCTGTCAGCCCGTGACTCACAGTTGAGCTTTTCGCCCGCACCTCCACCCTCCACGTCTGCTGCTATGTCCTCTTTTCTTGCTGGTGTGAGAACCATGGTCCTCCACCACGAAGCCTTTCCCCAATGGAACGTATGTTCCAAACCCTCCTCACTTTAAACCCCCCACCATTGCCTACGCCCCCCTGTCGTCCACCTCCTCCTCCTCGTGGCTGGCACAGCGTCCATCATCCCCGTGGGTCATATGGACCCTCATCAGTGATTATGCCATGGGTCCACTTCCCCTCCTTCCTTCCTCCTTCCCTCCTTCCCTCTGTCTCTCTGTCTCTGTCTGTCTGTCTCCCTGCCCCCATTCTTCCTTTCTTCCCTCCAGTGCTGAGGGCCTGGCACAAGCTGGGCAAGCACCCACCACAACTGCCCCCAGCCCATGTCCACAGTGTTTAGTTTACAGAGTGAAAATCCTGCCTAGTGGGCACCACAGCCCTGAGCAGAGTGCTGAGGAAGGGCTGCCCCAGAGGTGGGCCGCGGTGCAGAGGACAGAGGGTGGGGGAGCCCTTGGAGAGACACAAGTGGCACGGCTTTGTCGTCACCTGTACTGGATTCTAGGCTTGGCTCCGCTGGCCATGGTGGGGGACCTCATGTCCTCTCAGCCTCAGTAAGTCAGGGAAAACAATGCCCAACAGGGGTATTATAATTAATGTAAATATTGTTGAAATTAACCATGATTCATAACTTGCTGCCTATTCTCATCCACAGGGACATGTCCCAAGACCCCTGTGGATGCCCAAAGTCACAGAAGTATGGGATCTCATATGTATCATGTCCTATACATATACACCTGTGATAAAGTCTAATTCAGAAACTGGGCCCAGTAAGAATACTGGGGCACAGTGGTGGTGCACACCTATAATCCAGCTATTCTGGAAGCTGAGGCAGGAAGATGGCAAGTTTGAGGCTAGCCTGGGCAATTTAGTGAGGCCCTGAGTCAAAATAAAATAAAAAGTGCTAGGGATGTCGCTCAATGGTAGAGCACTTGCCTAGCATGTGTGAGGCCCTGGGTTCAATCCCTAGCAGTGAAAAAAAAAAAAAAGTTAACAAAAACTAATAGTAAATCAGAACAATTATAACAATATGCTATAATAAAAGTTATTCAAATATGGTGTTTTTCTCTCAAAACATGTGATGAGCTAAAGGGAAGATGCAGGCATTGTAACACAGCCTTAGGTTACTCTGTAAAGGGCATTTGAACACAGCACTATCATGTGGACAGTTGATCTGATGACTGAAAAAGTCACTAAAGGACTAAGAGTGGGCAGCATATACAGTGTGGATACAGTGGACAGAAAAATGATTCACTTCCCAGGCTGGACAGAGCAGGACAGTGTGAGAGTTCACCACACTGCTCAGAGTGGCATGCAGTTTAAAACTTATGAATTATTTATCTCTGGAATTTTCCATTTAGTATTTTCAGGCTGAAGTGTTAGTATTCCCATGTAGTATTTTCAGGGAACTGAAGCCTCAGAAAGCAAGATGGAGAGAGGGGGAAACAACCGTCCCTTGTGCTGGTTCCCTTCCAGTAAGCATGCCTTCCCACATGCACTGGCTACGTCAAGCTTTACTCCACCCTTGACTAGCTTCTGGGACTGTCTCCTCATCTGTAAAATGGGTTGCTTTACCCACTGCCCAGGGCTGTTGGGAGAACAAATATGGACGTGGAGAACTGTTTCAAATGGGGGTGGTTTAATCTCAGGCAAGTTGACAAACACTGCCCCAGCTTCCGAAGACAGGACCCCTGCGGTTGGGGCTGTGGAGAAAGCTCACCTCATGTCACATTACTCAGGCCACTCAGGCCTTCAGGGTGGAGGTTTGTCCAGGAGACCTGTGGGTAAAAGGGGCTCTGGAGTCAGGAGGCTCACGTCCACACCCTGCCTCCAGCACTGGCCACCGGCTGCACCCAAAAGGTGGGTAGGGACACTCAGCAAAAGGGGGCGGTGGCCAGTGCTCAGCATTAGCTCTCATCACACCTGACACCTTCCCCCACCTGCATGGCCATCTCTGTCATCTGCTTCCTCAGAACAGTCACGTCACACAACTTGATGGCGGGGGATGGAGACCCCCAAAGGTGCACACTCATCAGCATGCCCTCTCCCCAGCCCTCAGGTGTTTCTTCTGTTTCTATTATTTCTGTTTTTTTGTTTGTTTGTTTGTTTGTTTTTAATGCCACACGCAACCCCACCAACAGAGAACAAAAATGTGAAGAATTGATGGTTTGGCCCTTTTCTTTCTTTTTTAAGATTTTTACCTAGGGTCCTGGGAGAGGAGGTGTTTGCACCTGACCTGGGGCGTCAGGAAGCAAGACCAGGGGCTTAGAGCAGGTCTCATGATGTACCGGGCTGCAGGAATCCCTGGTTGACCTCTGCAGCCAGGGGGCTCTGCTCACAAGTGTCTATTGTGTCCACCTCCAAGGGCACACCCCTTGCTTTGCATCTGGGAGGCTTTCCACCCACTCTGTGTGGCCCCCAAAGCTTCCATCACAATGCAAGTTGACAGGGCCAGTCTTGGACGCTTGCCTCCTTGCTTTCTAATGTTGGTATTAGCAGTACTCAGGATTGAACCCAGAGCTGCTCGACCACTGAGCCACATCCTCAGCTCTTTTGCGGTGTTTTAAATTTTGAGACAGGGTCTTGCTAAGTCGCCCAGGCTGAACTTGTGAACTTGTGATCCTCCAGCCTCAGCCTCGGAGTCGCTGGGCTCTCAGGCATGTGCGGGGGCTGGGCTTGCTTTCTGACTTTCATGTTTAGAGCTATTATTGGTTTTGCATGTTTCTTTGTCAGTTACCTATAATTTTAAAAAATAAAATCCCCTTCAAAGTCGTCAGTGTAGGGACCAAACAGGTGGGAAATAATCATCCCTCACAATCTAGAAGGTGAGACAAACCCGGGCAGGTGTGCCCAGCCTGTCCCTATGGTGGGCAGGGAGAGACGGCAAGATGGGCCAGACACTGGGGGCCGGGAGACCCCCGCGGCCGGTCCTGCTCCCTCTGTGCGCTCATGGTTGATCATGTCCACGAGTCCTAGGTGTTCCCAGTGCGGGAGCCACAGCACTGTGCCGCGAACACCTCGGCGGTACAATGTGACAAAAGGGGAGGAAGCCGGAGACAATGTCTGAAAAAGCTACCGCAGGCTGTCGGGGCCCTGCAAGCCGCCATCCGAGGCCACAGGGTGCCACCTGGCGGTCGCCCCGGCAAGCGCTTCCGCAGACGAAGCGGCTCAGGCCGGCAGCCCCGGGGTGGGGGCGCAGGCGCGGGTGGGGAGGCCCCGCAGGCAGGCCTGGGGGGCAGGCTTGGTCGGGGCAGGTTTAGGGGACAGGTGGGGCGGAGGACAGCCTTAAGGGTCAGGCTCAGGGGGCAAGCTGAATGGGGGCGGGCTGGGGGCAGGTGCAGGTGGGCAGGCTGGGGGTCTTACGGCCCAGGACTGAGTGCCGGGGAGCCTGGGCAGGGGCTCAGCTCCCCAAGTTCGCCCCAGTGTTCTCGGGGGAGCACTGGGCAAGGACGCTGGGTCCTGGCCTGGTCCAGGCATCCGCGGGGAGACCCTGGTGTCAATCCAGCAGCGGGAGAGGGTGCGGCAGTGGCCTGTGCTTCGGTCCTGGCCGCCCCCGCCCCTCGCAGCAGGTCCGCGACATCCTACTTCGCAGGGGCACACGCTCAGAGAACTCGAAGGACCACCTGTGGGATGTGGGAGGACGGCGCCCCGTCTGCCTGTGGGCCGCGCGCCACAGTCCTTCCAGGAGGGGCTGCGCCGCAGGTCACACCCGGCGACACGGTGTTGCCCGGTCCGTGCTAGCTCAGCCTTCGAATGACCTTGGCTCTTCACGTGGACGCCCTCGCCGTCCCGGAAAGCCCCGTCGGGTCAGCTGAGCGCCGGCCTCGGTTCTCGCCGACGCCCTGCCCGGCGGGGCAGCCAGGCAGGTCTGGGGACCTTTCCGCGGCGCACCTGGAGGAGGGAGGCGGCCACCGCCACCTAGTGGTGAGAGGACGCTGGGGACGTAGGGCGCGCACAACAAAGAGTCTCATCTTGCTGCCCCGCCAGCGTTCAGGGACGTCTCCAGAGCACTTATCCGCGTTTCTCTGGCCAAGCGCCACAGACCTCCAGACCGCATCTGACCACCTGCACGTCGGGCTGTGGACGCTGGATGTCAGTCCCGCGCTCCGTGGCCGGAGGGTCCTGGGTCAGGGTTTATGCACACAATGAAATAAAAGCTGTGTATTGTCTAGAAAAACAGGTATCTACACACACACACATACACACACACACACACACACACACAACAGTAAAATGAATAACTCCTATTGACCGAACTCAATTTTAAATGCTTACTATATGTAAATTCTTTTAATCATTCCTCTTAACCAAGACATAGCCGCCTCCTCAGAAGCCCTCCAGAGCACAGACAAAGAAACAAGATTCCTGTCGAGTCGAATAGGGAGGCCTGCTCCAGCTCCCCCTTTATATCTTAGAAGGGAAGCTTTGTCCTGTGGACATTCGAGATCATTTTTCAGGAGCTCAGGTTACTCCCTTGAAGATTTTTAGGAAGTTTCATGATATGGAGACATTGTTGAGACATTGGCTGCTTGACTTCTGCTAGGCAATCAGACGCAGAGATCAAATCCGGTCCTGCCCACTTAGACCGCTTAGAGGATTTCTGGTTATCTCCCGCAAAAATGAGTTTGCAACTTTAACCCGACTCCTAAGAGAAGTCAGGCGGCTTCAGCTGCTTTTGTGTGTGTTTTTTACAAAGGGTCTCAGGAAGCCCGTCCCAAGGCGCAGCTTGCTCTTCACTATCTGACCCATGCCGCATTCAGAAATATCAGATGATTGAAGGAGCAAGAAAAACTGTTTTCTTTTATAAACTCTAAGGAATGTTAGGAAATACATTTTCTTTACTTTCTTTTTTTTTTGTTCAGAGAATGGAACCCAGGGCCTCGTGCTCGCTAAGCCGGAGGCCCCACTGAGCTACACCCCGAGGTCCAATACGACCTCCTTCATCAGACCCTTAGATCTTTCCTTTAGAATGTGAAATGCTAAAATCAATCATGGGCCACTCTCGCCCTGTCCTGAATTTTAAGTGTTTGCTTAGATATGAAGACTTATCGAAATGCTGCCCAGGGCCTGGGCACGTCTGCTCATTTGCAGTGAACACTTGGAGGGGTGTGTGCGCCTGTGGGCTCAGGCCTTGGGATAGCCTCCCATGTCTGCGTTAAGTGTTCATTCCTGGGGAAAGGAGTGTCTGGCAAGTAGGAATATATTATAAATCACATTTTTAGTGAGAATGACAGAGCTCAGTAACCCTTGCCTTGGGGAACCTCTCCAATTTGTCAGTTAGAACTCAGCCTCCTGACATGCAGCGAGCCCGTGCCTGTCCTGGAGGGCGGGTTCCCGTGGAGAGGGCCTGTTTGGGAGCTGTTGACGACGCAGGGCACCGTGGGAACACGGACTGGAATGCGGAGACCCCGTGCAGGGGCCTGGTGTCATTTCCTCGGCTGACCACCTGCCTCTGAGTCACGCACACACACAGGGACTTTCTCAGGCCCCGCATGGGCACGCGGGTGAGCCTGAGAAAACACAGGTCTCCCGTGCAGCTGCTCAACTCACAGAAGGCTGCCGGGGGCCCTCTCTGTGGGGGCGGGTGGGCGGCCCTCTGGTGCCTTCCCCCACCTACTTCAGTCCCGGAAAGTGCACACAAGTAAGTAGGCCCCACGATCTCGTCTCCTCGGAGCTGTGTGGCTGCTACAGATGCAGAGTGCCCAGCTAGCCACACAGGCCACCCACGGTCCCGTTCTGGGGATTTCCTTGGGGACGCCCACCTGCCTGCCAGACCCGAAAGGGCTGGCTGCAGGGGAGGGAGCCTCCAGCTCTTTCCTGCTGCTGTCCTGCAGCCCTGACCCGACCCTCAGAGCCCCACACCTCAAATGGTTTGCCCCAGGCTTCCTGAGCCTCCTTCCATTCTTTAAACCCACCTCAAAAGCCCCCTCTTTCAGGAAGCCCCCCCCAGCTCCCTGCCCCTTCTCCTGTGTCAGAGCTGACTGTCCTGTGGCCCCTGCTGTCACATCCCTCTGGCTTCACTGCCACACAGCCATGGTTTCACCCACCTCCCTTCATAGGAGCACCTTCCTGAAGGGCTGAAATTAGTCCATCAACAAACACTCACTATGTTCCCCCTGGTTGGCACTGCACTGTGTCCCACATCTCTGAGCAAGCTCCCCTGGAGGAGAGGGTCCGGTGGAAATGATTTGTCCTGCTGGGCCTACATGAAGAGGTGGACCAGATGAGACCAGAGGCCTTGTCTAGGGTTCTGTGGGGTTTGGAAGGTGCCAGATCTGGAGTGGGCAGAAGGTGAATGAGTTGCCAGCCACACTGTGGTCTCTCCACCACTCTCTGCTTCCGTTGCTATTAATACCAGCAGTGCACCCAAAACCAAGGTGGTGCTCTCAGCAGCCCTTCAAGGTACGTTCTGTGACTGTGTGGAGGAGGAAACCAGGCACAGAGAGGTTGAGCAGGTGGTAGAGGTCACACAGCTCCGGGTGTTTCCATCACTAGAGAGCTCTCGGTCCTCAGTGCTACTCCAGGCTTGTCATCAGAGGAGGGGGCCACAGGCAGTGATCACGGACACACTTCAGACCTGAGGGAAGGAGGTGGTGGGGAGAAGGGAGGGCTCTGTGAAGGTGGCCTGGATGCAGGAGGAGGGCCTGACGGCGAGGGAAGGCCTGTGGGGATGCCCACCTCTCACTAACTGCTGAGCTCTGTCGTGTCCCCCGAGGGCTGGTGGTGGCCAGAGGAGAAAGTGCTGACTCCCTGGGGCAGCCCGGAGCCTAGGAAGCTGAACGCACCCCCTGTCGCAGCAGCAACCCCGGCTGGGCGTCACCTTGCCCACGCTGGGCCCTTGCCCCTCTGGACACACGCCGGCTGTACCCAACCTGCAACTGGCACTGGTCACCACCTCCTCCTCGCCCTGCCCTGCAGCGCGAGACCTGACCCCTGGGAAGGCTGTGGGCATGGCTTCCCTCCCCTCAGCCCCGTCGGTCAAGCGCAGGGAGCTCTGCGTTTACGTCAAACTCTCCTTAATGCACTTTCCATTCTCGACAAAAACCACAGCCATCAATTAAAAAACAAAAACAAGAAACCGCCAAGCGCACTTGTGCCTCGCTTACCATTTTCTTTGATCCATTAAAATCCGGGAGGGAGCCCTTCATGGTCTCTGGAGTGTGAGCCCAGGAGGGAATGATTATCCACAAAGTGGTCGTCCAAGTGTTTACCTGGCGACGAAAGAGCACTTTTGAGGACTTGGAAGAAAGCAGGAATACGTCTGTCTCTCCAGATGCCATCGGTGAGAATACTGATGAATTAATGATTTACCCGAGGCCGCGGTGTCTGTTTGCTCTGCCATCCACCAGCAGACGGCGTTTCCTTAGCAACCCTGACTTCAGGCCAGCTGCAGCTCTCGGGAACCAAAGGGCAGCTCTCCAGGCACAGAGCCGTCTCTGGTGCTTTCTTGTTTGCCAGGGGGACCATGATAAATGGGTCTCCTCTAAAGGAGCCCTTCTCTTCTGTCCTTTCCTTCCCCTGACCATTGAGATGTGACTCTGAAACGCCCACCGTGTCGACTCGGAATTCCACCCCTTCCCTCTCGACACGCCTTCGGCCTTGACCAAATAGCGCCGCTTTGACCAGTGTGTGTCGTTTATTTGTACACGTGGATGCGCACGCGTGTGCACACACACGGGCTGTCAACTTCTTACTGGCAAACAGAAATGCCCATTTGTTTTCTGGGTCAGTGTTAAAAACTTTAGGCATCTCGCTGCTCCTGTGCGAGACCGTCTTGGGGACTCAGCGCTCACAGAGTGTTGGTGGCTGAGGGTGGAAATGTCCCGATTTGCCCAGTAGAAAAGCCCACGGGCCTGCAGGAGCTCACAAGGCGGCAGGCCAGGTTTCCTTATGAAGGAATCTGGCCAGACAGATGAAGACCGCGGCTATCCCCAGGTTAAGGCTCACGTGCCACTGATGGCCCTTTCCTTGAGCTGAGAACATTCTGGTAGCTTTCCCTTGCGGGGAGTGGTCATTAAAGGAATAGAAACTATGGGAAGGGAAGTCTACTTGCGGAAAAGAGAATTGACATGTTTTACAAGCGGCAGCAACGAGGAGGTCAGGCACCTTCTCACACAATCCACGAGCGTCCCCGGATCAGATGGGAGCCCTCTTTGGGGGAGCTGCCTTGTCCCAGGTCTGAGAAGCCGCGACCAGGGTCAGGGTGAAGCCCGTGGTGAGGACAGCCTCTGGCTTGCTCTCTGGAGGGTAAGGAAGGCACAGCTCGTGGCCTGGGTAAGTCCCCGGCCCGGTGAGACAGCGGGGTCCAGACAGCCGTGAGCTGGGGGCTGGAAGCGATGGGGGTGTCTAAGGGGGTTATCCAGCCCCGAGGGGCAGGAAGAGCATTCCCTGGCAGAGGTTGAGCGAGGCCTCGGCCATTGCACAGATCAAGGGAGAAGACCTTGTTTCCTTGCAGGCTTCAGATGAAAAACTATCATTTTCCTTCCCTGTTAGCCAAAGGCACTAGAGTCAACCCCACAGGCGTGCGCCGCTCTGCCCCATTGGGAGTCGGTGGACAGCCCGCGCGAGTGGACGCGGCAGGCCAGCCGCAGTGTCGGCAACACAGACGCGGGGCGGCGGCTCCCGTGCTCAGGCCCTCGGGCCAAACGTCCTGGAGCCATGGGTGCAGGCCAGAGCACTGAAGGACCCACCCCACTGGCGAGGACGTCCTGTTTTCTGTGACCACCCGGGAATCTGAAGGCCTCACCTGGGAACCTTAGGACTCCAGGGAGGCCAAGGCCATGAGGAAGCACCAAGATTCTCTACAGTTTTTACCAAACCTGGCTCGGATTTTGAGGGACTGGTGCTTGTTGACTAGGGCAGCTCAAGAGTAGCCAGGCCCAGGCCCACTCACGCAAGCTTTCCAGGAAAAATGGGACACTTTTTGTAAGTTGTTCCCGAGACAGGACAGCCGACCTGCAGCTTGGCCAGAATACACTGTCCACTTCTCCCTGCACGACTACCCAGCCCTGTCCCCGCCTGACCCACAGGCCTTGGTGGCTCCCAAGCCAAGCCCCATATGTGTTTCTAAACTCACCGAGGACTCTGCAGGCCCTGTCGCCAGCTCGGCAGGGCATCTTTCGAAGGACCCCGGGGGCTTAAAACCCCTCCACAAGTGGCATGCTCTGGCCCCGGGGGCTGCTGACCCTCTGATTGGGCTAATTCCTGAGCAGGGGACATCTGAAGTGGTTCTGTCCAGCTCGCAGGGCCCACGCGTTGGCTGGGGGACCCCTGGTCCTCTTGGGTGAGCAGCGGCTGCTAGACCTGTCTGCACCACGGGCAGCACCTGCTCCGGCCTAGCTGGAGTGGGGACCCTGGAGGGGGACTTGGCCGGCCACCTGCCCCCTGGGGGGAGTTCCAACATCATTTCCTTGGTTTTCTTTGGGGTCTTTTTCTCTTACACAAACTTTGAGAGGACTTTTAAGAAGGGAAGTTTCCAACGTGCACAAGCAGATTGCTTCAGAATTCAGTGCCTTGAGGGAAATCCGCCTGAGAAGAGACCTTGTTAAAAGCAGTCCTGGTGGCTCGATGACAGGCGTGGTCGGTGACCTGGCTGCTGGGTGGACACCCAGAGTGTATGAGCTCCCCCCCCACGGCACAGCCCCTCACACCCCTCGCCATGTGGACTACTGCAGTCAGTGTGGGCCATCATGGACCTGAGGGTCCTTATGAGGAATATGACTGTATTTTGAGACCCAAGAGCATGGGGTGAAGGGCAGAGAGCCGGGCATGGTCCACCTGCAGCCATGTATTAGTGCTGCTGCTGCTGCTGCTGCTGCTGCTGTGTGACCTCAGCTCCATGAGGCAATCTCTCTGCGCTCCCATTTCCCCACAGCAAAAGGAGGGATTCAAAGGGCACTAACTCGGGGTGGCTGCCTAAATGGAATGAAGTGACGCTTTAGTGCTCCAGAAGCACACCTGCCGTGCTCTGCTCTACCTCCAGCTACCGCTGTTCTTAGGGTGGCCAAGCTATGCTTTTTGGTGCCAAGGGATAAGAATCAGGCCCCCCGCTGGACGGAAACTCCCTAGAAGAGGGGAGACATTTGATCCTGTAGTTCTGTGGGGAAAGATTATCACCCTCCACCCTATTTGCTGACAAAGAAACAGGAGCTCGGCAAATCGCAGGACTCTGTCCCAAGTCACAGCCAGATGAGGCAGAGACAGGCATTCAGCCTGCGCCTGGGACTTCAAAGCACCTATGATTTTTCTCATTTTCCCCTCAGTCGATGTGCTACTGTGTAAGGAAAATGAATCCAAATGCAAATGAGACGAGTGTGCCCCCTTCCTCAACTGCCAGCCCTCACCAGATGCTTTTGGCCAGGACGAGCGATAGCAGGTAACACTGTGCGACTTCAGGAATCGAGACAACGCTTCCCACTCTACGCACAAGGTGACAAAGAGGTGGCTGCTGTGGCTCAAAGCAAACTGCATCACCAGACACGCCTCCTGGGCTCATCTGGGGTGATCCGGGTTGCAGGGCGTCCAGTCTGCCCGGTCCTGCCTGCCCTCATCCCGGGGACCTGGCGTCCGTCCCCCCGTAGGCCAGGCAGATTGCACAGTCAGCCTTCCTCCTGCCCAGGCTGGTGGGAGGGAGTCGGACTGCTTGCTCCTCTGGAGTGGTGACCTGCTGGCTCCTTCTCAGCTCCTGTCCTTATCAGCCCAGTGCCTCTTGGCGTCTCCGTTTCCATGACTTAGATTTTCCGGGGCTGGCCCTGCCCCACACGCTCAGGGGCTGCTGAAGACAGAACAATAAAGCACATTCTTGCTGGTGTTTTGAAGTGAGGCTGTCCATCAGTTAAGGGAATAGCAGCGGCTCCCAGGGCCTGCCCTGTGGAAGGACGTGGCCTGCTCCGGGGTCAAGGAATCACTTTCCAGGTGGGGTTAGCCAGAGGGAAGGAAGACAACCTGTCCCTCGGTCCATGGGAGAGGACAAGTCAGGCACCACTCCTGTGGGTGTGGGTGGGGCACGTGAGTCACTGATCCCGCCTTGGCTGGGAGGTTCCCTCTCCCTACGTCTTTCTCGTCCTCTGCTCCTGCCTCTTTCTTCTTTTTTATTTTAATTTTTCTGGTTGTATACAATACCTTTGTTTATTTATTTATTTATTCTATGTGGTGCTGAGGATCGAACCCAGGGCCTTGTGTGTGCTAGGCACGTGCTCTACCACTGAGCCCCAGCCCCAGCCCTGCCTTTACTCCGCGCTCTGTTCGCCACCGTAGGCAGCCTCTCCCTCCTGTTCTTGCAATGTTCCTTTCTCAGATCATTCTGTTCTTGTTTGACCAATGCAGTGTCTTCTCCAGTCTCCCTAAGGATCTACTTAGAGGTTTTGTGGTGGTGGTGGTTGAAGTTCTTGCCTATTATTGTTATTATTTGTAGTTGTCGATGGACAGAAGGCCTTTGTTGTGTTTGTTTATTTATTTATACGTGGTGCTCACACATGCTAGGCGAGCGCTCTGCCCCTGCGCCTCCGCCCAGCCCCTCTTGCCCATTCTTTCATCTTCTTCTTCTTCTTCTTCTTTTCAATCTGACTGTTAACTTTGGTCTCAGGTGTCAGAGACAGAGGACAGTCCAGAGCTCCTGGCTGTCACTCCAGGGGTCATGAAGGAGACAGGCAGGCAGGGCTGCATTGGTGGCGAGGAGGACGGTCATGGCACCTAAATATGTGAGGTGTGTCTTGGAGAGGACGCTTATGCTTTGGAGGGGCTCACGCCTCCCCACATGAGGCTCTTGGCGGGCTGATGGCCACCTGATCTGCAAACTGACTCTTGGGTTTATCTCAGAAAGACCTGTGTTCCCACCTGCCTGCATCGCACCACTACCCCCCTCCACGCCTGTGTCTCCTCGTCTCTAAGGACATGGCTCTGGCTGTTGCTGCAGCCCTGCTCCTCCCATCCATCTACATGGTTTAGCCCCGGGGCTCTAAACCATGGTGTCCACTACTCAGCTGAGCACACCCAAGGTAAGGGAGGTTCCCCAGGACCTCAGGGGCCCCTGCACACCCCGGCTGCATAGGCTTTTATACCCAGGGCCTCCTCTGCTCCGCACACCCCTCCTGCTCCTCTAAGGGTGGACCTGACCCAGTGTTCCCTGTTCTCCCTAATTGCAATTTGCCTCATTTGCCTCATTTGCATGTGGCTTTTTTCATTCCCATCCCCTGAGCTGAAGGGCCCTGTTGCCAGGGTAACTGGGAGCCACTCCCCCTCCTCCCTCCCACGTCGTCAGGGAGACTGAGCTCCGCCCACCCCACCCCCACCCTCACCCCCACCCC